ACAAGTTTTTTTTTCAAGTTTTAAAGTTTTTTCTTTTTCTTGTTTTTGTTTTTTTTTTTTTTTTTTATTCTATTTTTTTTTTTTTTGTATTTTTTTTTTTTTTTTTTTAAAAAAAAAAAAAAAAAGTGGGAAAACAATGTACAACGAAAAAAATCCACTCGACTCAGACCACCAAAAGTAAGACAGATTACAAATATGTATATATATATATATAAAATGATAACACATACGCGTAAAAAAAAAAAAAAGTGAAATGTTCATACGCGATATCTTATGATCATCTAAGTACCAAAAAAAATGTTCGATGCAAATAAATGCTTTATAAATTCACGAGAGATGTGCTATGTAATATTTTCTTTGTAGAAGGTTATTTTGATTAAACGATCTTAGGGTCATATTGCTGAAAAAGGAGTGCGAAACGAGAGAATTTGCCGAATTCGGGTAGAAAAAGAAAAGAGAAACGTGCGTAAATAATGGATTTCATAATTTTTTTGGCATAATAATTTTTAATCCATCAATTAATTAATTAAAGTTTCATATGGTGGTTGTAAGGCGAATACAAATTTCAATTAATCTCAACTTCTTTTTATGGTGAAGTAGGGATGTGCGTGAAATTCAAACGAGTTGATGTTGAGACACGCATGAAATTAAGATATGCGTGAATGCTAAAATGTCTATACAATACAATAAAAGCTTAGGTGAGATGTGTAGTATTCGATATTTTTTGAAAGAAAGGCTAAAATAAACGTCGAATGTTCGAAACAAGAAAAAACCAGTTATCTAGTCTGCTAGGTTAGTTGGCTGCCGTTCTTGTCGAATGTATTGAATATATTCTGAGATTGCGTGTTCGCGAGTAACGCTTGTTGCTGCGCCGCCAAGAAATTGTTGACGATCAGTTGATCGTTTCTCATGGTCGGAGTGGCTGACGGTGTAACCATGTACGTTCCGGGGGCTGCGGTCATCGGGAGCATGATATCGTAGTTACCAGTGTTCTGATTCATCTCGACGGAGAATTGTTGTAGGTCGGCCGTCTGATCTATGAGGGTACCGGCATTGTCATGATTACTATTATTATTACTATTGTTATTATTATTACTGTGGTTGTTGTAATTATGGTTCGGTCATGTGTGTTAAATGAGTGAAGAATTTTTTTTTATTTCACTAGATGAACTAGATAAGAGGATGGAACCTTAACACGTTTCACCATCGAGAATTCAGCATTTTCGTAACCCACGATGACCTTCACATGCGTTTCCTATATATTGGTGTGTACAAAACGACCGCACAACAAACGTTCTCAAGTTTACCACCATAATAATCAAGAACAAAATTTCCTTCGTTCCATTGACTTGTGCATTTAATAATTTCAACTTCCTGCATGCAATCTTCCGCGAACAGATTTCCTACATAATGTATGCGCGATGTCTTGCCTTGAAAGGATGGAATACACATATTGAGGCCACATGCACGATGTAGTTGGAATTACTGTAAGTTGATGCATTCCGGATGTCCTACCATTAAAAAATTGCACACAAGACGTTCCGACATTCCTGAATCAAAACTTCTGCGTTAGAAAAAATGTCCGTATACATACTCTGTGCCTAGCAAATCAGATATTCAGAGAAAAAATAAGAAGTCCATTTTCAGGTTATGAATTTTAACAGATGCATAATTAAACAACCACGCCCAATTTTGGTGTCGTACTCATATGTGCATAGAAGCACTTTGATGAAACTCTTAAAATTTTGTCATTCTGCTAACCATACTCGTCAGTTGAAGGGAAAAAAAAATTTTTTTTTTTCTTTCCGTTTTCGTTTCGTTTTCAGCATTGTTACCTCATTCTACGTGAAATCGTTGTCTGTTTGAGCACCAAGGCGAACAATCGGGTGGACATCTGGTTCACGCTTAGGTAACGATTTCGTGTGAAACAATGCTCTGTTCTGAAATACTTGTGTACACATGTATTGTGTGTGCGTAGAATGTGTAGATACATAATTTTCGTCCTAGTTCCGGATTCCATGATGGGCGTGGGATGCTTGCTCCGGACTTCATTACATTATTACGTGAGTCGTCGTGTGTGGAAATTTCACTCAGGTAAGATGAGCGAGTGGGATGCATGGTACAATGAGATGTGTTGTAATACTGATGGCAACAATAGAATGGTCTGAAAATACTGGTTTGCTTTCAGGTATCGACATCAAGTCTTTATAATATTCAGTAAAAATCGCTGTCGATCGACAAGAAAAAAGATCCAAAGCATTATTGTTCCGAGTGGCTATTATTTTGTGTATACGGTAAATATAATTGCGTGCGAACATCAATTCTCAAA